CCGCGGGAGGGGCGGCGACGGCGGCCGGAGCAACCTCAGGACGCGAGCGGAGCCGCCATGGCGGAGTTTCCGTCTAAAGTGAGCACGCGAACCAGCAGCCCCGCGCAGGGCGCGGGCGTCTCGGTCTCCGCGCTGCGCCCGGACCTGGGCTTCGTGCGCTCCACCCTCGGAGCGCTCATGCTGCTGGAGCTGGTGAGTGCGCGCTGCCCGGCGCCCAGAGGGTGCTCCCGGCGGGATCTAGGGCCCCGGCGCCGCATTCGCCTTCCATTCTGCACGCGCCGCGCAGCCCGACGCGTCTGCCCACTCAGGCCCGACGCCTGCGAGATCACCCTCGACCCTCTCACCTCGAAGCATCCCCAATACCATCCCTACCCGTGCACGCACCTGCACCCATTTCTGGGTGCCCCTCTGCAGCGCCCTATCACCTGCTCCCCTCCTCCCCGCCCCGCCCCAGATGGTCACCAGAGACCGTCCTTGGCACTCCCATCAGCCATACTCGTTACGCACAACTGTGTCTCTGGGCCAGGACAGTGGCCCCAGCCCTCCAGGGGACCCAGACTGGGCCAAAGGCCGCGCTCCGCTAACTCTCTACCGAGCTCTGAGCGCTCCGCGTGACCGCACCCCCGAACACTCGGGATATTCCAGTCTCAGTCGCCCGACACAGACCCTTAGGCTCGGCCCTGCGGGCTCCCGCGCAGAGCCGGGTCCTTCTGGCTTTTACTGGTTGCCCTGCCGGGTTGCTGGCGGTTTGGCCCGCCCTGCCGGACCGAGACATCGAGGGGTGAGGGGAAGAGGGATTTGTGGGGAGCTATCGGTCCAGACTCTAGCGTCGCAGACCCCAGTCTAAGGGGGCCGATGGGAAGGCCCCTTCCCACCTCCCCCCAGTTTTATCGGGTTTGGTGACTTTCTTCTCTTCTTACCCCCTTTTTAAGAGTCGGGGAGCTGAGTGGCTCCCCATCGGGGGTTTCCCCACCAGCTGGAAGCCTGGTCCATTTTCAGAGGACTAGGGTGGAATTGGATTTTCTTTGCCGTTCCCAGGATCCTCATTGCTAGCTCTAGCTAGGGTGGCCCGCTCCAATCGGCTCCCCCTCCCAAGTGCGCACCCCTCTTCCTAGGCTCAGGGTTATCTCCACTGCGAATCTCCCCCCATGAGCCCCACTTCCATCCCCACCATCCTCAGGCCCTTCCCGAGATATTTGTTTAAAATGTACATTCTGGGTCCTGGTCCCCCAGAAAAATGTCGGGTTGGAATTTGAATCTTAGGAAGTGCAACCCAGAAATCTATATTTTAAGCTACTCTCCCAGAAATGCTTGCAGATTCTCTGCGGGGGGTGGGGGGGGAGGTAAAAGGGGGGAAGGAGTAAAGGGGGCCGGGGAGATCTGTCCAGGGACTAATTTAACTTTGCGGTAGGAAGAGCCTGGCTGGAGCAGTGGTGACTGGGCTTCTCAGGTAGTGGTTGAGCTGGAAAGGATCCCCTCCCTCTTCCAGACCCCACTGGGAAAGGATAGAGAAGTGAGGGGGGCCAGTTCTGTGTCCCTGAGACCTGGGGTGGTGAGGAGGTGGTTTGGAGCATGGAGTTGCTGAAGTCTGTGGCAGAGGGAGGGAAGGGCATTCAACGGACCTGGTACTGGAACTGTCAAGCTCCGAGCTGGGAAAGTGGATGGGAAGTTGGGGGGAGTAGCTGGTTGGTGTAGCTGGAGTTGTTCCTGGGGTGCTCAGAAACCCAGGGTTCAGGACCCCCCCACCCCGGTGGGAAATGGTCGCTGGGTTCTGGCAGCAGCTTCAGGAGGCTGGGCTGTGGAGGGCTCTCCGCTGGGCTGACCACGAGGGGAGTTGGCGTGTGGGTTTGTGGGGTTCGCTCCTGACTGAGCACTGGCTTCTTTTGTAATTAAACCATGAGAACTGGAATAAGGGGTGACCCTGCCGTGCCTGCCAGGACCTTAGTAACTCCCTTAAAAAGAGGCTTGTGTCTCTGATCTGGGGGTCCCTGTGGGCTCAGGCCGGTCCTGTGGTGGAGCTTGGCACTTAGGGCTCTAGATGCCAGGTGTAAGTGGGGCCCTTCCTTGGCCCTCCCTGCAGGGCTTTGCCGCCCTGGGGGGAGAGGGCTGGGAGGTGGGGATGAGGCTCTCTGGTGGGAGTTTTGAAGCTCTCTAGTCTGTCTGTGGAAGCTGCTTCCTGAGCTGTTTCTCTGGCAACAGGGATGGTTCCAGCGGGTCTGAGACAGGGGCTTCACTCAGCAGGCACCACCATCTGCCGGGAGGCCGAAGCCACCCCCACCCTCAGGCGGGGGCAAGTACTGGTTTTGGGTCCTTTGCCAAGGGCTTTATATTCTCTTGTGCTCTTCACTTGATAGTGGAGGCTCAGAAATCAGTTCTTGCCCAAGACTTCACAGCTCTCCATCTCGGGAGTCAGAGCTGGGATCTGAGCCCTGGGGCGTGATTTTTTTGGCCCATGCTCTTAATTACCACACTCACTGTGCTCCCCTGGGTCTGGTGCTGTTGAGAGAGTGATGGAGATCCCAGCAGGATCTTTTGGCTTACAGGGAAGGTGCCCAGAGTATGAGTTTTGAGTGGAAGAAGCCGGGCAGGCTGATGGAGGAATTGGTAAGTGTGAAGATGGAAAGATGAAAGCCAGTTTCCTATCCGACTCTGTTTTCTAGGACTTGATGCAGTGGTCCACAAGTGGCATGAGGAAGGCGGAGGGGTGTTGAGTAGAAAGGCCCAGCTATTTGAGGAGATGTGCTCTTTGTCTCGTATGAAATGTATCCTAAGGGACCAATCTCAGTGCTTACTGATTTACCGCCCTGTTTATTTCCAGAGGGAAGATGAGATAGAATATGATATTAAGCTACTCAGATAGAAAAGTTCAATAATATATTTTTTTCAAAGCCGGTGGTGTGTGTATGTGCCTATGTGTGTGTTTGTGTGTATAGAGGACTGACTTACAGAAAGACAAAAAGATCGTTGCATCAGGAATCTGTAGCAGGTCTAAAGTGGTTGATTATTTGTTGAGCTTCCTAGTAGCCTAGGCAAAAGAAGAAATATGAATGTGTATAGATGGTTTCTAAAATGATAAGTAGGTAAGTTTGATCTAGAGCTAACTCTTAATTAAAAATCTTTATGTGGTTGGGGGTGGAGGGAGGAATGTTGGAATGTTGCAGAAAGTATAGTTAAAACTTGTGCTCCCAAGGGAATATGCTCAGCCATCAAAAAGGATAAATTCATGCCCTTTGCAGCAACATGGATGGAGCTGGAAGGGATCATGCTCAGTGACATAAGCAGAAAGAAAAAGAAAAATATTGAATGGTTTCACTTATAGGAGGAATGTAGAGCAAATAAAGAATAGAAAAAAATTAATTAAGTAAAAATCAAAATCATAAGGCAACTATAGATGAGAGACATTCTGTAGGGGAAGAGGAGGGTGAAGGATCAGGACAGGAGTGGGAAGAGCACACGGGACTATGGTGATGGTGCAGGGTGAATTGTGGTGGGAATTTCACAGGGAAACCATCCCTTGTGCAGAAATGAAGGGTGATGTAATGAATATATTAAACAAGAAAGAAAGTTTGTGCTTCTGTTACTTAGGAAGTTCTTTCTCATGATGATCCTTATCCTGTGATCCCAAAACATTTATAGAATAAATACAAAGTGATTGATGTTAAGTGAGTTCTTAGTCTTCACCAAGCCATGGGCAGAGAAGTCTTGGCAACTGTTGTTGTGGGAACAGGCTGGGCAGAGCCGGATTCTGATTCGGATCTGGAAATACAAAACCTGACTCTAGTGACCTTCCTGTTTGGGGAGGCGGATGCGATTCCTGGGGTGCTTGGTAGGGGAAAAAGAGGGACTTCAGGAAGGGAGACTTATCAGGGGCCAGGCCTACTCTACAAGACTTTTTTCTTTTTAAAGATGTATTTGTTTATGCATACGGAACTGGGGTACAGGCCAGAGGTGCGGAGGGTGAGAGGCTTCACAGGAGACAGAGTGGGGAGCAGAACTGACTGACGAAGGACACTGCTGAGGGGAGCAGTGGGCAGGTCAGGAGAGATCTGCCGCGCCCTGTGGGTCACCTCTGGGGTGGGGATCAAACTCATGCTGCAGAGGCTTTAGCTCTTAGTGCTGTGCTTTAACCCGCTGCGCCACCAGGGAGGTCCCTGAAGACTTTCTGACAGGAGTGGAAGGGGGTAGTGCGGAGGAAGTTCAAAGCAGACCACCAGCGAACTGCTCACGCAGAGGCCAGTCGGCCGGTGGCTTTGAGGCCCAGGACACAGGAACCATGCGGAGGCCTCTGAGTGGGCCCATCTGTGCTTGGCATCTTCTTCTTTTTTAGATTTATTTATCCACTGAAGAACTGGGGTGTAGGCCAGAGTGCGGGGGCAGGGGAGAAGAGTCACTAGAGACAGAGTGGGGAGCAGAACACGCAGCTCTTGAGACCCTGCTGAGGGAGCAGCGGGCGACAGCTGAGGTCTGCCATGCCACACGTGAGTCACACAGCCGTGACCGCCCCGAGACCCGACCCCTGGCCAACAAGGAGGTCGCTGTGGTTGGCATCTATCCTTCTTGGCTTTCCTCCAGGCATGGGGCATGACCATGCGATTTCCAGTCAACAGGTGAATGAACACACCAGAACCTTTTCCTCTGCTAGGTCACAGTATTGCTCTGGGAGCAGGGAGCCTGGACTCTGCATCTGCCTCTGCCTCTTCCTGGCTGTGTGATCTTGGGCAGGTTCTCGAAAAGCCCTTATCCCAAGTAAGCCTCCCTGTCCTTGTCTGTCAACGGTGGTGGCGGGACTGTGAGGAATATGGAGGCCGAGTGCGTGGGGTGGAAGGAGGAACGAGAGCCTCATGGAACTGCAGGGCTTTGGGGCTGCCCCCAGGGCCCCTCAGTGTGTCCTCAGCCTGAGCCCACTGCTTCCAGGGACAGGGCGCTCGGCCTCTCTAGACTGCCTGTCCCATCCTGAGCTCTTGGGAGTCCAGCAAGTCCTTCCCTGAGTGGCCCTGCTGTGGTCAGCCTGGGAGACCTACCAGGTCCTCATGGGTGGGGGCCGGGCATCATGCCACCCCAACCTCCAGCAAGAGGAGAGCAGAGGTGGATCACCCGAAGATCAGAATGGCAGGGGTCATGGCACTCCCCTGGGGCCGAGACTTGTAGGTCAGTCTCCCAAGCAAAGCGCAACATTCCAGGCCCAGCTGACTGCACAAACCAGGGCCTGGGTGATTGGTCATCCCCACCCCCTGGGGTGTCAGGGAGGCTGCTGGCTGGAATGAAATCATCATGGCAGGGTAAATAAAGGCTGCTTTTCTCACACAGCATGCCCCTGCTTCTCTCCTAACCTGCAGGGTATCTGCACAGCCCCAGCTCCGTCAGCTCTTTCTTTGTTGATGGACACATTTAAAAACTGGTTTCATTCTTCAAACTTGCAGTAAATATTCAGACGGTGATCAGTGGAGTCACTGTCTCCTCCCCATATGCGCCTGAGGCAGCCGCCCAGGTAGTGCCCAGGTAGCGTTCCAGGTGAGCTGGTCCTCACCGGAGCACGGACTGCGGGCAACGCACCTGGGGATGTTCTGTGTCAGTCCCCGTGGCAAGGTGTCCATTGTTTTTACGCTTTATTGACTTAATTTTTCAATAGGTAATGAAGGCATGTTCCACACTCAAGAATAATAACTGGGGGCCCTTCCTGGTGGTCTGGCGGTTGGGCTCAGCACTCTCACCCTTATGGCCTGAGTTTGATCCCTGCCAGGAGTGACCCAAAGGTGCAGCAGACCTCTCCTGTCTCCCTGCTGCTCCCTCAGCAGTGCATTTCAGGGGATCCGCCTGTTCTGGTGAATCCTCTCAACCGCCCCCACTCTGGCTTACCCCCAGCTCTTGTATGCATAAATACATGTATGTTTTTTAAAAAGGTTCCCTTTAAACAGTAACAGGTTTGAGGACCCTCCCTGGTGGTGAAGCAGGTTAAAGCACAGCACTAAGAAGCTAAAGCCACCTCAGCATGAGTTTGATCCCCGCCTCGGAGGGGACCACATGGTGCGGCAGACCTCTCCTGACCCGCCCGCTGCTCCCCTCAGCAGTGGACTTCGTTAGTCGGCCTGTTCTGCTCCCCACTCTGTCTCCAGTGAATCCTTCACTGCCCCTGTACCTCTGGCCTGTACCCCAGTTCTGTATGTATCAATAAATAAATCTAAAAAAAAAAGGTAACAGATTTACTAATTGCTACAGTAGGTAATAATAATTATAGTAACTAACCAATATAGAGTACTTCCTGGGGGGGGGGCATTGTGCTAAATGACTCAGACTTCAGCCCATCCAAACACTAATGAAGCATTAGAAGTCTCTGTCCCTGGTCTCACTGAACATTTAAAACAATCCTGTCTCCGGCTGCTCCCCTCAGCAGTGGATTTCAGTAGATCCACCTCTGACCTGCACTCCTGCACTCCAGCTCTTGTAAGCATAAATAAATAAATCATTTTAAAATAAATAAATAGAACAATCCTTAAGGTCCTTCCTGGTGGCCTAGAAGTTAAGTCTCAGCACTGTCATGTCTGTGAACTGAGTTCCATTGACCTGAGTTGATCCCCGGGCAGGGAGTGACCCACAGGGCGTGGCAGACCTCTCCTATTTCTCCCACTGCTCCCCTCAGCAGTGGATTTCAGTAAATCTTCCTGTTCTGCTCCCCACTCTGTCGCTGGTGAATCCTTATCCCCCACCCCGCAGCTCTGGCCTGCACCCCAGTTTTATGCAAAAAAAAAAGAATAGTTGGAAAGATCATGGTGAAAAATGTCTTCTTTCCAGTTAGAGTGCACACACACACACACACACACACACACCACCAGTGCTCACTCTTTGCCGCCCCCGCCCCTTGGAACTCCTTGCAGGAGCTCTCACAGCTGGATTGCGGCTGCCTCTTTCCAGTTAGCAGAGGGCCGGGCTGCCCTCATCCTTCCTGTCCTTTCCCTTTTCCCCTAAAACTTCCAGGCAGTCACTCTGTCTCTGTCCTGGGGATCTGTGGCTTTTGTAGCCTTCCATTATGCAGCTATGGAGTGAGGACCCACAGACAGGCAGCTCCCTACACACTGAGGTGCCCTGTAGCAGTATCACAGTGGCTGCTATTTAACCCCTTGCACCACCAGGGAGGCGCCTGGTTCACTTTAAGTGAACTCAAATGTGTACATTCACCAGTAAAGATCCCAGGCAAGGAGCAGGCCAAATCCCTCACTGTGGAAGAGCACCAGAGAAGGCCTTGGGGTGTGGCTCCAGAGGCCCCCACAGGCTCTCACACACTTGGGGCTATCTGTGGAGGGGCCTCCAGGCTCGGGGTGCAGAGTGGGAACCTGGGTGAGTGTAAGCAGGAAGCAGCTGACTTCACACGGGGAAGGGGTCCTGGAACCCTGAGGGAGACCCAAGAGGAATGAGGGTTGCAGTGGGCTTCTTGGCAGGCAGCTGTATGTCATGACTGGGGAGCTCCTTTGGGGGGATCGGGGGCCACGGGGCCGTTGGGGTAGGTGTGCAGAAGCCTCTTCCTTCTCTGTGGTCCAAAAAAACTGGAACCGGCCCTCCCTGGTGGCGCAGCGGGTTAAAGCACAGCACTGAGAAGCTACAGCCACCTC